CGTACGTCACAATCCAAATAGCTTGGACCTGCCCTTTAATAGTAATGTTAATGTATCACATTGTAAAGTAGGCCTCTTAATACTCTTTTCACACCGGTTTTGCTTAACCCCGTACTTTGCTTAGCCCCGTACTATCCTTAACCCCAGACTATTTTGTTTGGCTTTTCTCACACGCTGTTTTTTAGTCCCGTACTAGCGCCTATTCTGGAATAAGAAAATTCACGCTGTTCTCACTGCAATTCGTTAGCCCCGGATATCGTGAATGTTATGATTGGACAGTGGGCTCCTTACTTCGCATCTGGCCAGCTGCGATACGCTCCATTTCGTAGTACCAAATTATTTTTTGTTTCTGTTCTCATTCATTTGCTTGGCACCGCAATTGCGGGGTTAGCAGGAGTTAGCACCACAATTGTGGGGTTAGCCCTGCTATTTTGCAGGGTTAGTTAACCCCGTACTATACATGTAGGTGGGGCTAGCCCACTTTGGTAAATACAAGTCTGAACAGAAAGTGGAATAGGCTTAACCCCGTACTATAGGTGGGGCAAAGACCCCCCCCCCCCTTAACCCCACCTATAGTACGGGGTTAAGCAAAATTTTGCCATTGTGAAAACAGTATTTATCTTCACACCCCTCTCTTCATGGACCCCATCTTGAACTTCTTGAATGTGGAATTACAACTTGCAACAATTTTCTGTTAAAAAATAAACAAACAACTAAATTGTTTAAAGTCTCTGAATGTCCGTACATCACAATCCAAATAGCTTGGACCTGCCCTTTTATAAACCTTTGTATTGTATGATAGGTGATTTGGTATGTTTAATGAAAGAACCTGCAATGTGATACCGGTATGGTTTTTGTATCAAATAATGATTTTATATCAAGTGTCAGACAGTCTGAAATGAGATGGGATTCTCTCTGCAAAGGTTACAGCTTTCCAATTATATTGAGTGGATTTTCAAGCATCTTGTGGCATGCATTAAAGGCACACTGTCCCACTTGTAGCTACTTGCTCCCTCTATATAGAAAACTTCCCCAATCGGTGCCTGTTGGTCCCCCATGATCCTCATTTTTCTTATGTTAAATGAGAGCTGAGTTAATGAGATAGCCACCTGTCACAGTGACCTCGCTGGCTCGCTGGGTGGTCTAGCTGAAGTAGTAAAGCCTGCCTTTAATTCATGCCACATTCATACAACTGTATATGAAATTTAATCTTAAAAGATGGCCTTTGAAAAGGGGTTGTACTTCATATGAGGAAAATATAAACCATACAACTCCCAGGGGCCCTTTATTAAAGGTAAAGACCAGTATTGGAAACGCCGGAATTTCAAAAAATTAATATGGAAGCTCTTTATTACCAATCATGTGAAAGAATATGTTTTGAATACATGATGATACAAATTTCACTGGGAAACCGCCTACTAATTGATATATTTTGTAAATTAGTTTGGACTGTGAGAGATAAAGGCACGTGTCGTGCACGTGTGCGTAGTCCCATATACAGTACATCTTTCTGTGTACAGTGCTTGTAACTTTACGAAGACTGGGCCAAATTTCTTATCATTTGAATGATTCCAGAACCTTGCAGTACACACCAGTACGATAGATGATCAACCTTTTCTGATCGATTCCACAACGTTTCTTTCACAATGCAATCGCATGAACATAACTGGTCTTTATCTTTAAAAGCAATTTTCTTGAAAGTATTTTACCATTTTGTTCCTTACCTTTAATGCTGACTACATCTACAAATAATATTCCTGGGCCCGTATTCAATAAACTTCTTAAGCATGAAATCTAAGTACTTTTTCTTAAATTTTGGCTAAGAAAATATCTTAGCCAAAAATCGTATTCTATAACAGCAATGGGGACTTAAGAAATTTGCCTTAAGATTAAGAAGGATTCTTAGATTTTATCTAAGAAAAAGGACTTAAGTAGCATGTCGTATTCTAATACAATCGAGATATCTAAGATAAGTATTAAAGAAATCTACCCTATATTTAAGCATACATGTACTACGAGGATGCCTTTGGCACCGGCAGCTCAGTGATGCTGCAAGCAACCGCTTCGGGTTTCGATCAAATGGAATAAAAACAATGCATGCAGCGCGAGCGCAGGTTATCAGTTGACCTATATAACAACGTAAGCTTCGCGCGTATACAGCGTCGACGGCGCAGCGCGCAGGAATCTAGGAGCGCCATAGGCTCTGTGTACTTGTACTTATGTATGTTTGTTTGTACACAACTAAACGAGTAGTAGCATACATGCATAACGCTAAATCATGACATGGCTGTCGTATACATGTATAAAGAAACCGTCTCTTACTTTATTAGTCTTTGGCGCTAAAGTATGGAAACAGGGAATAATGTGCAATCGGCATAATATTAGGTGAGACAAAATTTGTTATAGTATGAGTCTGATAAAGGTTACATCTAGCCATTTGATTAATTTTAGGCCATCATAACAGTAGACGATGTAAAACAATGAAAGGGTAGCTCCAAATCCAATGCTAGCGCTGGTCGACCGGCTAGTGACGGCGCTCCCTTCATACTCACAGACCCTGCGGCTGCGACATAATAAGTAAGCCCGGTTGGGCTCCTCGGAGTTGTTTGACAGAAAAGTATAAAAAGCCTACAGTGGATGTGAGATCTAGCCTCAGGTGGTCTTGACTAGACTGTTTTAGTGTCAGTTGGTCAATCCCGAAATAATTATGTGAGCATCGTTCCTCCCTTACGCTCTCCCATACATGTTAGTGTATAATTTTCGTGCGGTGCGATTTTTATTTTAACACGCAAATTACATAGGCAAATCGAGTTGCAATTAATTCGCTCGAGTCGACCACATCAACTTTCCCACATGACGTCATCGGGTCTAAGAATTTGTCTTATCTGTCGTCTTAGCTAAGACAAACTGCTTTACGTGTTTAGAATACGGCTAAGGCAACTTTCTTAACCTAGACAAATTCTTAGACATTTTCTTAGACTTAAGAAAAATGTCTTAGAAGTTTATTGAATACGGGCCCTGATATTGAAGTCGATAGCTCTACATGTATTATCAGGCTCTTATCAGGCCACCTACATGTACATGTACATGTATGAAAGAAAATGACACTTGAAAATGCATACATGTATGTACATACAGATAACAAGTGAATTATTTATACCCTTGTAAATTTGATGTTTTTTGGTGTTATTTGTAATTCAAGAATAAAAGGTGGATTGGTTATATTAGGGCTATTGTTGAATACTATTTATATGTAAGCTCTAATATGTCACAGTATTGGTACACTTTCATTTTCCAAATTAACAATGCACGTACATGTATGTACAGCATAATTTGAGATGCACTTTCAGCTAGATGATTGGTAAAATATTTAGTCCAGCAGTTGCAGACAGCTGAAAGATGAATCTCTGGGATTAAGGAGAGGAATAAGAATCTAAAAATAATTCAGGCTTCAACCTTTCAGTATGTCTACTGCCTGACAGTAAGGACATACATGTAGACTTTATAGAATCACAGTGATAGTGTATCAGAATGATTAATAATAATAATAATAATATTCGTATCAGGACAATTACCTCCCCCAAAATTACCACTCCCCAGAAAATCTCCCCCCCCCCCTATAGGATACTAACCTGAGGAAAATTACCCCTGTTGAAGAAAATAAGCCCTTGAGGGGTAATTTTCTGGGGGTAATTGTCCTCTGGGGGGAGGTGGGGGGGGGGGGTAATTGGCCAGGGGGATGTCAAGGGGGTACATGTACACGTAGTTGTCCTAGAACCAAAAATAATAACCTAGGATTCTAGCGCATTTCATCTTCAGAGAAAATATCAATGCACTTTACAATAATAACGCAAACAAATATACAGATAACTATTTATTCATGACCCAAAGAAACGTCAAAATAAGAACAAGATTAAATACTTTTTAACATCGATTATAGATGATCAGAAAGCTCCTAGGTATAGTGTGATGTTGTTGGCTGTACTTGTCATATCTGGGGTATTTTTGATGGTTTTAATAAATCTTTCAGCATGCACTCGTAGACAGCTACCATCCTGAATTGTATGGGCCCTCTCTTGAGCAGATGCCATGGCTCAGGGGGAATTAGCCCCCAAAATGCCCCAAAGAGCCCCTGAAAGTCATAATAGAGCCCCCCTAAAAAAAATTGCATAGAGTTTATTGCAAAACCAATTAAATTATCATGCTATCATGTTATTTTCATGCAGGCAAGCTTGAAAAGTATGTAGCCTCCGAAATATTTAAAGTATTTTTTTCCCTGTTTTTGATAATACCCTGGTATAATATTTGTGTAGGTTACTGTCATGACATGGCCCTATGCATAAACTACAATCACATTCTGTTTTTCATTATTTTTCTTTCAAATTTAATTCTTTAAACAATCTGAAGAAGATCTTGTGACTTTAACTGTTCATGTACTGCAGTCCTTTGGCAAGACGTAAATCTACACTTGCCACTCTCCACCCAGGTGTTAAATGGGTACCTGTTAGGATGCTATATTTAATGTAGGGTACCAGGTAGTTTGCTCAGCATTGTGAGCCTCTGTAAAATGACGCCTGGCTGGAATGCTCCCCAGGGAGTTGAGAATGTGCATACATCGGTTGCAGGCTAGCCTGAATCCGATGACCGGGGTCATAATATATATCTGTAAAGCATCCTATATAGAGACATCATCAATGTATTAAAGGCCATTTGTACTAGTGTTGTACAGGAGGGATTAGACCACACTGAAAGGTCACTGGCAGGTGGTTATCTCATTCAATCAGCTCTCAATTAACATAAGAAAAAGAGGATCATGGGGGACCAACAGGCACCGATTAGGCATTGTTTGCTACATAGGGCGCAAATAGCTATAAGTAGTGCAGTGGGGCTTTAAGCACTATATAAACACTGAATATTATCATTATAATGTATACCTGTATTGTTTGACCATGTCAGTCACTGCTCAGACCAATTTCTTGTGTTCCTTTCCCCCTCTTCAGCTCCAAACAGATAGACCTTTACGATGAGACGTTCAGATCTTTAGTGGAGTCTGTGTTACAAGGATTCAACGGGACAATATTTGCATACGGGCAGACAGGAACCGGCAAGACATTCACTATGGAAGGTAGGTTCTGCTGATGTGGAGTGTAATAGTAGTGATGGGACTTAAGTTGCATTGAGGGACATGATTTGGAAAGACATTCACTGTGTAGTGTACATGAAGAGCCTAATTCCAATATGAGCTAAATCCACTTGTGATGAAAATGGAGTAATTGATATCAGAACATTGTTCACTTAATGTACATGTAAGTACCCGTCTGTCAACAAAATTTTATTTACATTTTAGGAGCAATTATGTAAAAAAATGCACCTTCAAATATCACTTTTCTATAGACGCCTGTACGAAGTCTGGTAAACAATTTCTCTTTTCTCCGAAGTTACAAAAATGGATTTGGCTCCTCTTGGAATTAAACTCTTCCTGTTCTCTTTTATCTTGATGCATTTGATGAAGAAATATTGTATCCACTATTAAAAGTGAATGTAAGCAAATACTCAGACACTTTGTTTGCTTGCACAGCTTAGAAACAGAGGAGTTGCGATAGCTCAGTTGGTAGAGCAGCTAGTGCCCTTTGGTAAGGCATTAATCCTCATTACCAGTTCTCTCAGAGAGGACCTAAAGCCGTCAGTCCTCTGGTTGCTTACTAACAAGCATTTATGCTTTTTTAGCAGTCAGGTAAAAATAACCACCACTACACACAAGGTAGTTGATATTCAGGCAAAACACATCAGCCCTACTTGCATTCATGGATGTATGTTTAATCAGTCACCCAAGATGTAAAATTAATTTGAAAGGGAAATCCAACCCTTGTAATAAGTTGAGGAATAACTGCTACATGTACATGTACATGTACATTTTGAAGGCCATTCATACATTATTTGAAAAATAAAACATGCATTTGACGAAAGGGAGGACGTAACTCTTCTTCAAAATCCTTCGTCTTTCGCGGCTCTGAGAATTTTCAGTACGTTCCATTGTGGGTATCACATGGATTCAACCGTTATTGCGTACACCTGTACATACGTTTCCCTGCTGTAAACTGTGAAATGATTACTGCAGAACACATCGTTTTTCCTGTCGTACTAGTACTTTTCTCCACCTAGACCTTCTGCTACATAGCTTGAATATTTCATTGCGATTGTGTTGGTCTGGAAACCGATGAAATGATTTCCCCTCAAATGGTTTTCAAAGAACAATTTTTACAACCAAACACCTAACAGTACACCATCCTTGACGTGTAGCGCGTGCGTTGCGCGTTACATCAGTTCTCCTTGCGAAACTTCACAATACAGAAGTTTTTAAGGGAAATTTCTACAAAATGGCAGCTTTCTTGGGGACCAGACAACCTTGTAAATATATGGCGAAGTAGAGTATCTTTGTTGTACTTGAAAGAATATATTATTTGGCCTACAGCAATGGTTTATATTTCAAATGAAACGTTGTTTTAGTCTCTATATCATGTAAACTCCTGACGACGGATAGTCAACCTGTTCAAAACATTGATCCACTCCAACTACCCATCCTCTCCAACCGGCGCTTTATTTCTTTTTAGAACTTTAAGCTAAGACAGATTGCAAACTTTTTTCATGACTGCCAACAGTCTTTTACATGACTACCAACAGTCCTTTTTCAGGACTACACACACACACACACACACACTCAAGAAAAAAAGATTACTGACATTCTTTTTAAGGACTCCCCAATCCTCCCTTCTCTCATGATAATGCTTCATAGACGACAGGTTAATTCCCCTTTAACTCTAGCACGAAATTCACTTTGTTAACTCTGTGTTGTTAAAATATTTAGACTATAATTCTACAATTACAAATTTTTCACAAACAAATATAATATAATAAAAGGATCTAAGGTCTTAGCTTTAAATTGATTGATTGATTGGTTTTATTCACCAAGCCTCAACATACAACAATATAGAATAACAGATCAAAATTAAGTCACCTTGAACAGGATAACCTAAGAAAGCTCAAGAGCTTATTTCCAGAGGGGTCCCTGACATACATGCTTATATTTTGCTGTATTTGATAAAGTTTGATACTTGACAGCGAAGGAAGGGATACCTTGGATCAGCCTGGTTCGCTTAAAGGGATCCGGTAACCTAGTCTCAGATTCTGGCCCGGCCCCCCCACTCAGTGTTATTTAGGGTACGCATATGGATGTTCCCTCCTTTTGAAAACACCCCCCTAAGTACGGAGTGTAAAGTCAATACGGGCCGTATTGTTGTGTACTACGAGCTGGACTTTGGTGCGTGAAAAGTACCCCTTTACCGGACATTTTGGTAACACAAATGGTATCGGGAGCTCATGCTGCAATGATAATTATAAACCTGTATGTCAGTCAGGAACCCCATGACTTTTACAAGCCGATCACCTGTCCGATTATCAAGATATTTATCATTGGAAATCGAAATCATATTTTGCATTTTCCTAATGGTTTTCATAACTGTACAGTCTATTGGGGAAAACGAGTATGGTACAACCGGTCACTCAAAGATTTTTACTCTTTTGAGGCAGATTTTGATCATTTTGAAGCACAATTTTTTTAGTGCTTCAATATTACACCATATCACAGACACTGATAGCACGTAGGGCCGTGCATCTTAGATTTATAATTGTTAAACGATGCCTTTGATTCCTTTGTTTTAAAAACGCAACTCAGTTGATGATAGTAACAGAAAAAAGAGTTTATACATGTAGTTCAACAAATCAGTTTATGATAGTAACAGAAAAAAGAGTATATAGTACAACAAATCAGTTTATGATAGTAACAGAAAAAAGAATTTATAGTATATACAACAAATCAGTTTATGATAGTAACAGAAAAAAGAGTTTATAGTTCAACGAATCAGTTTATGATAGTAACAGAAAAAAGAGTTTATAGTACAGCAAATCATTTTATGATAGTAACAGAAAAAAGAGTATATAGTACAACAAATCAGTATGATAGTAACAGAAAAAAGAATTTACAGTACAACAAATCAGTTTATGATAGTAACAGAAAAAAGAGTCTGTAGTACAACAAATCAGTTTATGATAGTAACACAAACAAGAGTTTATAGTATATACAACAAATCAGTTTATGATAGTAACAGAAAAAAGAGTTTATAGTATGTACAACAATCAGTTCATGATAGTAACAGAAAAAAAGTTCATTGTACAAGAATACTTTTAAGAATACAACTTTTGTCAGTAAACTACAACTTTTGGGAATAAAGAATACAGTTTTTGAACTCCAGAGGTTGGCAGGTCTGTATTTTGTAATGTTCAGTTTATTTTAAGACATGAAAAAAGGCATTTATTTTGAAATGAAATAACATATTATCTTTCAGAAAGCTATAATAATCAGTTGTCTTGTTTCACTCTGTGTACAGTTTCATAAGCTCTTGAGAGCATCACATGTTCCGATGGGAGCTGACAAAAAACAGAAAACAATTTCCATCGGAATATTGGATCAATTTTTCCTTTATGGCATCATGGACCAAATTGTGTGTGAAGGAAGGCAAAACATTAAAAACAATGAATTTAAAAAACATGAGACAGAAACAGGTTGCATTATAACACAATTAATACGATTGCAAATAATTTAGCTTTCCTCGATATATACATACATGGAGGCCAAACTACCCACTATGGACATCAAACGTTATCCTCTTTTAAGAGATGAGAAATTTACTATGATACACTATTCCATTGTAATGTAAATATACATTTTATTAGATGCTGCCTGTAACTGTATCAGTTTGCATGGTGATGTCGATATACAGTAGGCTTGCGGGTGCACCATGTGAGAGAGTGGGAGGATTGAGGGCTCTTGAAAAAGACTGTTGGTTATCTTTCTTAGCTTATAGTTCTAAGCGCTATAGTTCTTCTTAGAACTATAAGCTAAGAAAGATAACCAACTGTCCTTTTCAAGACTATACAAACAGTCCCTTTCAGGACTACACACCCTCAAGAAAGATTATCGAGAGTCTTTTTCATTACCCCTCAATCCTCCCTCTCTCTCTCACATGGTGCACCCGCAAGCCTACTGTATATACATTTTATTATGATAATTATTATTATCATAATTTGTACTACTAGTACTACTACCTGTACCATCAGGGGCTGTGCTGTTGTTTGGTATGTATTTAATCAAAGGGCCACTCTAACCAAAACGGGCTAAAAAATGGAGAAAAAAAAGACATGTAAAATAATCATTGACAGAGATTCCGAACATGACAATGATTTTTCTTAGAAATCATCAATAATTCTGGAATCTAGCTTTAAAAATGACGACTCAGAACGCTCAGAACAAAGCCCAGTTTCTGAGCTGTAGTTTGGGTTAATAACAAGATGCCGAATTCAAGGAAGGTTTGATAATTGTATTGCTTACACAATGAAACTATTCTTGTACGCAAAAAACAAAAAACTTCTCCCCGCTACAAGCTACAAGATTACCAGAAGGGGTTAAGAGGCATGGGCTCATCAAGGTGGAGAATATGTCTGATTGCTTGTATTCCACGATCCTCTTTGCCTGGATGATACCATCACATGACACCTGATCAACTGCGTAGATAGTGCGCTTTGTATTCCAGTATTTGATGTAGAGTGTGTCTGTCAGTTTGTCAACGTGACACCCTGACCGGCGCCACTCATCAGAGTGTATGACAGCTTTCTCTTCTCCTGATCGTGAGATGACAGTGAATCCATTACAATCTGTCGCCACAACGATATTACCTGATGACAAGGCTCGTATCCCAACCACCACCACCTTGCCCTGCATCGTTATGGTGTTTACTATCTTACCATCAGCAGGATTGATGACATAGATATTAGACTTACCGAGCTGAGCAGCGAGGATCATCCCATCCCTGTCAACATCAACGTACACACTATTAAAACCGCGTGTATTACTTGGTATGCTGATGTCTCTAATCACCTTCCATTGTCTGTCATAGAGAGTGATGCATCCATCCAAGCTGTCACCCGTGAAGCCTCCTCCGGACTTACATGTACCACATACTATTACGTTGCTGTCTATGGGGGCGCATGATATAATAAACACGTTACTTC